AGGTTCCAAAACTATGGCATTTATAGTAGATTTTCATTCTATCATCTCATTTCCCTTTTGGTTTCATATAAATAAGTCTTTGTCAGAGAAAGGAAGGCAATGACACAGATTTTGAACTGGGGGTTCTTTCTTTGTTTTATTGTTAATGAATGGAAAACAGATGAGCTCCACATGTGAACTGATCCAGTGGAGCCTTGCTCCAAAGCTCCCTGGGAAATAACTTGGGTGGGGAAAGAAGGCTTGGGACATTCAACTCTTTCCCTGCCACTTATTCTGTGACCTTAAGTTTCTCTCTATTTTCAATGACTTCAAAATTATAATAGGTATTGTTTCACTAACTACTTACTATGTATTACTATATGTTTTAACTCAATTATTACAAGTCCTTGAGGTAAGTTATATTACTATCCCATTTTAGAGATAAAACAGAGGCCAGAAAAGTTAAGTAAGTACCTTTTCAGTAGTCACAGACCTAATAAAAACAATCAGAATTTTAACCCAGATATACTAGTTCAGATCACAAGAGCTTAACCATTGTAAAAACACAAAAATACTGCTTCTTATGTCCAGTGTTACTATCCCACAAAGGTATAAAGAGGTTTAAATAAGATGTAGTATGTTCAATGTGTAATAGTCGTTCAATATTGTACTATTATTTATTATAAACATGTTCCAAGAAAAACCTCCATTCTTTTCTGGTTATTTCTTATTTTCTAAAAGTAGACTTCAAAATGTATATTAAAGACTCTTAAAGATCAGAGAGATGTCACTGCAACTCAGAACACTACCTGAACACTAAATATCAGGCATCATAGCACAAAGTTTAAAGGCAAGCAGGATAGAGCCAGACAGACTAGAGCTAAGAGTTAAGTTCCCCCAAGGACTTGCTGTGTGACATCAGATGAGCTATTCAGCCTTCTTGAGTCTTTAGCCTTTCATCTATGAAATGGGAGAATTATCATTTCCATGTTAAGGTTGCTATAAGGAATAAATGAGATGATATAAATATGTGTCACAACATAGGAACTGGCATTTGGCATGGTCTCAATATAGACCTTGAAGGGATTTCGAGATTAGTCCAGAAGTGACCCTGAGAATGAGTCGTCTACTTCCTCATAGATACTGAATTCCATTTTTCCAGTAGCAATGGAGTCAGGTGCAACTGTAATTGGTGGGGGAAGAATTGATTCTGATTCAGTAATTCTGGTTCAAGGCTCATTTTAGAGGCCTGGGCTACATTTTAATTCATTTAATTTCTGCTGACTCTTCCCAGACCTGTTTTCCAAAATTCAAAGAACATGGAGCTCTCAAAGATATGCTGACTGTGAACTCACTAGATAGCCACTAGCTCAGAGATCATTTCCAGGGAAGAGCCCATCTATTAGTGTTGACTCTGCAGAATCAAATGTCTCCTCTTTTATCTGGATTAAGTATGTGGCAGAGGCATGGTTGGGCATGGGGTTAAAAGTATAAATTCTGGATTCACACTATGCAGTCTAACTTTGAGCAGGGCTTCAGTCTGCCTAGCCCTCAGTGTTGTCATAAAAGTGTGGGGAGAAGGGGGAATAATAGTATCTACCTTGAATGAGGTAGAAAAGCACCTAGTACCCTCCATAATGATCACTATTATTACACTGTTCAGAGTCGAGTTTGCTGATAAATAAAGGTTTGACGAGAAGGAAGTCTTTCTGCTCAATCTTCCAAAGTTAAAAATTATATTTTATATTTTAAAGCCTCTTTGCATTGTATATTTACCCCTTTTTTCAAACTCAGACAACCCACTGTTTTCCAAGCTCCCAACAAAGATTTATTCTTGTTTTCACTGTCTCTTTAATTCTAAATTATAGAATAGTTTGATTCATTATTCTGTTTAAATATAGCAAGTGCTTTAAAATATAAGATATCTGAAGTCAAATTATAAAACTGTCAATTCTGGTGGTGAACCCATGGTGTTCATCAAATCCCAGCTCTTGCTAACTATGGGACCTTGGACAATTGACTTCATCTCTGCATTTCCATTCCCTCATATGTAAAATGGGATGTTAGTGAAGGTATCTATTCACCCAACAATCATTTGTCAATTACCTTCTATTGCTATACAGTATTCCAGGATACAGGGTTGCTGGGGAAGAGTGAATGAATTAATGTATACAGTGCTTAGAATAGTATCTGGCACACACTTGGCACTGTATGAGTAATGTCAATAATTATTATCTTTGCAACTCCTCAAAACTGAAAATTTATGAAAAGGATCAATGCCAGGAAATGTCACTAAGAAAGGATACTTCCCAGGCAGTGGTGCAGAAGACCTGAAATTAATTCATTTCTCCTCAATTCACTGGTATCCACAACTGGCAATTCAAGTTCTTTGAGGCTCAAGTTTTTTTGTTGTTGTTGTTTTTGTTGTTCCCCACCCCATGCCATGTGAATGATCCAATCAAATATAACTCATACTGCTGTTATATTTTAATAGGCATTGTTTAAAGATAAGTAAATGCACGCCTGGAATCCTAGCAATTTGGGAGGCCAAGTTGGGAGGATCGCTTGAGCCCAGGAGTTTGAGGCTGCAGTGAGCTATGATCACACCACTGCACTCTAGCCTGAGTGACAAAAAGGAGACCCTGTATATCAAAAAAAAAAAAAAAAAAAGAGAGAGAGATGTATAAAGCTATAAGCATTCATTTTCCAAGTTCTAGTAGTGCCTTTTTGTTTTTTCGTTGAAAATATCAGAGAGAACGTGATGAAAGGATTTGTTCAGGCTATGGTTAATTGACAGTCACCCAAAGTTAGCAAAATACTGCTAGGAAATCCACATAAGGATAATATATTTTTCTCACTTCGAATTTCAAATATGCAACCGAAGTCTTTTTTTTAATTTATTTTAGAAATTTTTTTTTTACTTCAGCATATTACGGGGGTACAAATGTTTAGGTTATGTATATTGCCTTTGCCCCACCCGAGTCAGAGCTTCAAACGTGTCCATCCCTAGATGGTGCACACCACACCCATTAGGTGCGAATATCCCCATCCCCTCCTCTCCTCTCCCAGCTGCCCGACACCTGATGAATCTTACTACTATATGTGCACTTAAATGTTGATCAATTAATACCAATTTGTTGGTAAGTACATGTGGTGCTTGTTTTTCCATTCTTGTGATACTTCACTTAATAGAATGGGCTCCAGCTCTATCCAGTATAATACAAGAGGTGCTATATCACCATTGTCTTTTGTGGTTGAATAGAACACCATGGTATACATATACCACATTTTATTAATCCACACATGTATTGATGGGAACTTGGGTTGTTTCCACATCTTTGCAATTGTGAATTGTGCTGCTATAAACATTCTAGCGCAGATGTCTCTTTTATAGAATGTCTTTTGTTCTTTTGGGTAGATGCCCAGGAATGGGATTGCTGGATCAAATGGTAGTTCTCCTTGTAGCTCTTTGAGGTATCTCCATATTGCTTTTCACAGAGGTTGTGTTAGTTTGCAGTCCCACCAGTAGTGTATGAGTGTTTCTATCTCTCCGCATCCACACCAACATTTATTGTTTGGGGACTTTTTGATAAAGACCATTCTCACTGGAGATAAGTGGTCTCTCATTGTGGTTTTGATTTGCATTTCCCTGATGATCAGAGATGTTGAGCATTTTTTCACATGTTTGTTGGCCACTACTCTACCTTCTTTTGAAAAGTTTCTGAAAAGTGGGCAAAGGACGTATAGGAGATTTCTTAAGGTTCCGTATCTTATAACCTCCGCTTGTGTGTAGGGAATTATCCATGAATGTCATTACCTTCTCTTAAAAAGAGGTAAAAATCTCACTCTATATTTAATATCGGATAATGTTATGTAAGTTTTTTTAGTCCAAGATGTATCACACATAAGAGATAATTTTATACAGGTCAACATGAGCTCCCAGGTGAATATTTTGATTTAGTAAACCAGTTCCCCAAGTAAGATTAAGCAGTTAAGCATCTTGTGGTTTATTGCCATCACTCTGGTTGAGCCTTAGAGCAAATAGGTTGTTGAGGATAAGCTGCTGGTTCTGCTATGAAAGCCTTGAGGTAACTGAGCTGACCAGCAGCAGTCTGTTTCTGGTAGACACGGGTAAAGAAGGGTGGAGAAAAGCTCAGGGAACCAGGAAGCATTTCCAGGTGAAAGAGTGGTGTGGTGGATTTTTATTTCTTTTAATGGTATCATTAACCCTGGGGAGGATGCTATTTCACACAAAAAAAATTAACATGCTCAGAAAAACACATTTAGGAGATGTGGATACCATCATAATTTTTCTCTTTTTTCTACATACATTTGAACCAAACACCAATTTTTATTTTGTGTTTGGACAACTTTGTCTCTTCTACCTTTTCCTGATTCTCAGCAAGCAATAGCTTGTTTTCTTTATCCTGACAGAAAGTCCTGCCTTCTTTACTCCTTAATTTCCTATGTGGTTCTGTGGAGGAATAGTTGAGCTCTAACCACTGGAACTCAGGTAAAATAGAATAAGGTTCCGTAGGTTAGTGCTCTGCTTTTCATAGACTGCTCATGGCTTAGATGTGTTCATCCCTTCATATTTATTTGGGTCCTTTTGTATTTTTTATCATTCTGTTTCTCCTGTAAACCATGTAACAGAGGCATTGTTTTTATTCTCCTCACTTTACAGATGGCAGAATGGGAGTTCAAAGAGGTATTGCCCATGACTCATAGTCACACAGTTATTAACTGTAAAGCTAGGCATCAAAATGAGGTTTCCTGTCTTCAGTTTTCATGCCCTTTATATTATATCATATCACATAGAAAACAGAGCAAAGCAACCAGGTAGTAAGACATTATTCACCAAAAACGTGGAGAGGTTACACATGCCTCCACCCTGCTTATATTATAATCCTATAGTTAAAATAATTGAATATTTATTTACCAGAAAAAATGGTGGGGTACAGATCTCAAAGTTAAGAATGTGAATACAGTATGTCGTGTGTCATTCTTCCCCAATGACTTACCCTGTAGCTGACATCCTCCAGGAGAGTAGATGTGCCCACCGTGCACTCTGCTTGCCACAAGGTCTCCTTGATGCTACAACCATAAAGGAACACATTTTTCTTTTGGGAGTGGCCATGGAAATCACAGAAAACCTACAATAGCGAAACAATGGAGAAAATAAATCCAGGTCAGGTCCATTGGTTCCTGAATTGTTTAAAATGTCAACTTTCTCAGATAGATAACTGTTAACTAATTAGGTAACAGAACCAGCCATGTAAGGATCATTGGTGACTCTGGCAGGAGTTGTACCGATGCAGTTCTCAGGGAAGAATGTAGATTCTCAGGGTCTTAGGGGTGAACAGGTGTGAAGAAATATGAGTCATGTATAGCTCTTTTGAGAAATTTACTTGTGACTAGGGAGGAGATGGAGTCAAAGCTGGAAAAGAAAAGGAGAATGAGGGCATTTTAAAATATATATGAGGGTTTTAAATAATTTAAAAAGTCAATAGGAAAGATCTATTTTTTAAAAGTAGATTAAATATACAAAAAGAGATGCTAATAAGTAACTATAATTTTTCTCTAGGTTCTGATGTGGTAAAGAATGAACACCAAAACTCAATGGCTTATCAAAGGGTTATTGTTCATTTCTGCTAGATATCAGCTGTGTCTCTGCTCTGTGTGTCTTCATTCTAGCATCCAGGCTAACGGGGAAGCCCTAATTTGGGACATGATAATCTTGTGACAGAGGGAAAATAACTCAAAAGTAGAATCATGTAATGGCAGCTAAATCTTCCTCTGAAACATGACAAACATCATATCTGCTCACACTTCATTGGCCAAAAGAAGTCGCATAACCAATTTTATCATCAGTGGGGTGGGGAAGTATATTCCTCTTACAGGGAGGCTCTGCAAGTCACATGGCAAAGGGCAGTGATGTGAAATCCTATCACAAGGAGAGATGCTAATAATTGAGAAAAATCATAAAGTCTAAAAAAATGACCACAAATTCTTCCCATGCCTGTATGCATGCCTCTTTGCAGTAGACTATGTTCTACCTTCATCAACAGGTAGAGTACATTTCTTCACCCCTCGAATCTGGACTTAGACCTGTGACATCTTTTGGCCAATAAGAATGAGCAGATATGATGCAAGCTGAGGATTATAAAGGGGTTGGTTTGCTGTCTGGCTGTTCCTGGGAAAGCTGCAACAACTGCCGTGTGAATGAGCATAGGGTAATCTGCTAGACCAGACTCTGCAAAGTCATTCCCACTGACATAGCGGATATCAAGTCAACCACCAGACATGTGAATGTATCCACCTTAGACCATCCAGCCCTGAGCAGCCTGGCTCAGACTAGGGAAATAGCCCAATTTACTTGCATGATTCTTATTTAGAATCATTAGAAATAATGCATGCTTTTTGTTTAAGTCACTAAGTTTTTCTGTGGTTTGTTACACAACAAAAGCTAAGTGCTACAATAATCTGTTTGCTTAGTTTAAATATTTGCTTCCCTCCTTTCCACATACAAAATACACTCAACTCCTCCCCAGATGAGATACCCCTGAATAGCCTATTTTGTCTCAGTACCAGACTCTCAGCCCAAGATTCCGTTATAGTTCTATATTCTATATGCTCCTCCTGATTGCCACAAAGGCAAGTTACCTGCTCTTCACTCATCCACACACAATGGTTAAATGAAGCAACCATATCCCCAGTAACCTTCAGGTTTGAAAGGGGATGGATAGGATTGATACAGCAGTCACTGTCTTCTGAAATGCCCATGAATAGACATTGTGAGGTGTCTATATCCTTTGAATACAGCTGGTTGGTTGATTAAACCCTGGTTCTGTTCCCTGTTAGGAGCTCTCCTGGATTTTTTCTCTGTAGATCCTTACTCTGCCCTTGGGAGGTGCTTATTTTTCTTTTATCCTTCTGGGCCACACATAAAAAGGCCATTGGAGAATAGGGCTCCCTTTGAGGCCAAACATCTCTCTTCTCTGATTCCTGATGTAGAAGTTTGGGGGCCCAAAGATCATTTTGGTCTCAAAAAGTCACAGTCTCTTTGAATCAAAGCACAGAAAAAGCACTAGAAATGAAACATATGAAGGCAAAATGAAGTGTTTTTTCTTCTTTTTTTATTTCAACTTCTCTAAAACATAACACTTGACAGTCTAAGGCAAAATAGTAGCAATGTAGTGTATGTTTACAGCATATGCAAAAGTCAATCTATCATAATAATGGTACAAAATATGGAAGAAATAAATTAGTAATATACAGTTATAAGGTCCTTATAGTGTAAATAAAGCAGTATATTATCTCAAAGTAGATGCTGGTTAATCAAAGATGTATACTGTAAAGAATAGGGCAAACACTAAAACATTTTTTAAGAGGCATAAATAATAATTCAATTGTGGAGATAAAGTAGAATCATAAAAATGCTCAATTTAATACAAGAGAAATCAGAAAAGATAGAAAATTCTAAGAACAGATGAAACAAATAGAAAACAACTTAGCAAGATGGTAGATTTCAATCAAAAAATATCAATAGTATCATTCAATATAAATAGTCAAAGCACACTAATTAAAAGATGAAGAGTATTAGGTTGGATAAATAAATAAGATCAAATATTTTCTGTCTACAAGAAATTTGTTTTAAATATAAAGAGATAGGTTAAAAGTAAAAGGATATAAATAGATATATTATGCAAACACTAAATAAAAGAAAGATGGGATAACTATATTGTTAATAATTATCAGATAAAGTAGACATCAGAACAAGAAATATCATCTGGGATGAAGAGGGATGTGCTGGTTGATGTGTTCGTCTTGTCTTTGGTGATTAAGTGCTACCACTTGGCCTCTGCTACTCTGGGATTTCATAATCTCCATCAAAATCAAAGACCCCTCACCTCAGTGGTAGCATTCCCTGTAGACCTGGCTGTCAAAGGAAAGCAACCACATGACTTTTTGAGGATGAAGATGCTCCCCTCTCTAATGTATATCTCGCTGCTTAGTGGAGGGAACGTCTCTCATAGGTGGGAGATGGGTGTGCGAGTCTCACAAGATGAATCCAGTACACATTTCTATTTCCCTGAGACTTTGCACACTCTCCTCCCCATTATGCCAGGGAAGCTCTGGCATCTCGATCTCACTAAATATAGGCTAGTGTTCAGCACAAGGTTCAGTCAACCAACCAATTAGAGTGTTAGATCCACCTCCAGCTGCTCAGGCTAACGAAGTAAATCTAGAATCTCTAGATCATACACTCGTATCGGTGAAGTTAGCCAAATCCAGTGTTAGATTCTGCCTTTATCAGTATAGCATCCTTAGAATCCATTCCTACACGTTTCCCAGGTTTCTGATGATGTATATTATCAACATCTTCCAATTCTTTTGGTATGTAGCTATTTCTTCCTGCGTCATAGCGTGTAGTTATTGTCCAGGATTACACTGGTATTTAACTTTAGTTATGAGCTCAGGAGGCAATATCAAGTAGCTGTGGTGGGTCTTAAAGAAAATGAACATCCTCTTTCGAGGCACCTGCCCCAGGTGAGGCTATCCCAGGATTTTCCAACTGTCAAAAACTACTCCTCAGTTACTATTCCTACTGATCTGTGAGGCTTAAACAATGTTCTATTCTAGACTTTAGAGCAGTGGATCCCAAGTATTAACAAGCATCAGAATAACCTGGAGTTTGTTAAAGCCAACTGCTGAGCTACGCCCCAGCAATGCTGTGACTCAAGTATTTCTGGGTTAGGCCCCCAAATTTGCATTTCTAAGAAGTCTCCAGGTGATGTTGATGCCCCTGGTCACTTTGAAAATCTCTATTCTAGAGGAACCAATGAATAATTGTTTTAGGTTGAATCCTCTACCATCATGAATTTCCTGTGCACCTTTACCTCTTACACCTCAGTTTCTCTCTGTGAATAAACACCCACCATTCTTATGAAAAGTGTGCAAACAAATTAAGACCGTGTCTTAGCAACAGTTTTCTCAATAAAGCAAGAAACTATGCCTACTTGGTGACAAGCGCTCCTTAAATGCTGAATTCAACTAGAGAAGACAGTGCATTTTTTTTCCTTCAGATTCTTATAGACTCTGAAAGCTGAGGTAAATGACAAATTATAGACCTATTCACCTGCAGGAATGAGCACTGCTAAGCCCTGGGAGTTCTAGTGGCCTCTGAAGATTCAGAATGAAGAAAATGGAGACATTGTTCTGCTTGTTGCTCAAATGATGCCTCTAAAAATAAATACCTCTTAATTATAAGAAACATGTATTCCTCCAGATTGCAGGGGGCAATTACAAAACAATTATCATGTTATTTCAGTTGAAGAAGCTTTTTCTTCCCTTCTGGAAGATTTAATACTTATACTTCCTTCAGTAAAATTCTGTACCAGGTAAGTACGAAGTATGCCCAGTTAGGACATTCCAATATCCACAGGTTTATTTTGCTTATTAATCAATTGATTCAACAAATATTAACTAGGTGCCTACTATGTGGCAGAAGAAACTAAAATGTTAATATAACACAGTACCATTCCCCATACCAACAACAATAATAGCTACAATAGTTAATTTATTGAAGACTCCAGGTACTGTGCTGAAAATGTAATATAGATTATCTCGCGACGAAGTAGGTACTTTTATTATGCCTGTTTTTCGTCTGAGAACACTGAATTTCAGATTAAATTTGCCAAGTTTGCACTGCTAATAAGTGAGAAAATTTTTAAACCCCAATTTGCCCTAACCCAGAGGTAATGTCTTAAAACACTTTTCATTTCTATATTGCCTTTTCCAGGAGCCAACAGGTCATTGTAGTACAGTCAGAGGAGAGCTGAGGTAGGCGTAAGTCCAGAAGTCCAGACACTATTCACACTGCACCCCAAATGAATGGCACGCCTTCAAGGCATGCAATGTGGTGTTTCTGGGATTGCCAAGGCAGGTTAAACCTAAGATGATTCTTACTGAGTGAGAACTATCTAAGCAAATGGAAAATTGGGAAGAAGGAGCTAAGGGTTTGAGGAACCGTAATAATTTAGAATAAGAGCATACAGTAAAAGGAGAATTAATCAGGTATCTATAGCAGTGGGCAATGGTCAAACCATCAATGTGCTTGTATGCCATTCTAGGGTGTTAGGACATTTTGTTG